CACTTCGATCAACTATTTTGTGGGTGCCTGGGAAACTCACAGCCTGTCCAAAGGGTTAAAGACCAGAGGAATGGTCTATAGGTCAGTCTCTGGACTCTCCACTCCACCCCATCGATCTGAGGAGGGAGGCTCAAGTCTACTAAAGTTCAGGATACCAGCTTCTTTTCAAAGGAGCATGCAAGATCCCTTTGCACACTGAGAGCACTTCGATCATCAACCTGGGGATCTCACAGCCTGCCCAAAGGGTTAAAGGCTAGAGGGATGGTCTTGCAAAAGTCTGTCTCTGGACTCTCCATTCCGCCTTATGGATCTGAGGAAGGAGGCTCAGGTCCACCAAAGCTCAGACTACCAAATGAGACAGTGGACACAAGTCTCCAAAGCTCAGGCTAGCAACTTCTTTTCAAAGGTGTTCCACGATCCTTTTGCACTTCGATCAGCTATTTTGCCGGTGCCTGCAAAAAAAGGGTTAAAGGCGAGAGGAATGGTCTTGCAAAAGTCTGTCTCTGGACCCTCCATGCCACCCCATGGATCTGAGGAAGGAGGTTCAAGTCTCCCAAAACTCAGCTTCTTTTCAAGGGAGCATAAAAGATCCCTTTGCACACTGATAGCACTTCGATCATCAACCTGGGATCTCACAGCTGCCCAAAGGGTTAAAAGCTAGAGAGATGGTCTTGCAAAAGTCTGTCTCTGGACCCTCCATGCCACCCCATGGATCTGAGGAAGGAGGCTCAAGTCTCCCAAAACTCAGGTTACTACCAGCTTCTTTTCATGGGTGCATAAAAGATCCCTTTGCACACTGATAGCACTTCGATCATATATTTTGCGGGTGCCTGGGACTCTTGCAGCCTGTCCAAAAGGGGAAAGGCTAGAGCAGTGTTCTCTCTTTCTCTCGCAGAGATCTCTTATATATATATATATATATATAGAGAGAGAGAGAGAGAGAGAGAGAGAGAAAGAGACCCAGAGCCCTGCAAGGGAGGATGGCTGGATGCGCTCCCTCCTGCTTACCTTGACTGGCCTTGGCCAGGGTCTTCCCAGGGCAGAGGAGAGAAGCCAAGAGGCACCATCCCACCATCTCCAAAGTCCCCATGCCTTGCCTTTGAAGGGGGGCTTTTGCAGTCGCTTGCCTTGTTGCTTTTGCCTCCTTCTTCTTCTTCTTCTCTCTCTCTCTTTTTTTAAGTGTGGGAAAACACTCCTGGAGAAAGAAACCTTGGCCAGAGGAGATCTGTTATTCCCAAGATTCAGGTGGATTGCTTTTTTTTTCTTTTCCTTTAAAAAAAAGAAAGAAAGAAATGCAATGCAATGCAATGCAATGCAATGCAACTCAATACAGAAGAAATTGTCAGTCTTTGGAATGGACTTGATCGTCCTCCCTCCCGAAGCAGAAACAGAAGCAGAAGCAGCAAAGCTCCAGTTTTGTTCAATGCCTTTCTTTTTTCCTTTTCTTCTCTCCCTTGGTTGGTCTAGGAGGGCTG